CAAGAGTTGGACTTGATGATCCTTAAGGGTCCCTTCCAACTCAGGATATTCTATGATTCTATGATTCTATAATTTTCAAGGCTGCTGCCACTATGAAAGGCAGACCCGAGTCTGAAGCTGTGTGGACAGTCTCATTTCCTTTTCCAAAATTCACACTAGATAGCTCATGTATATTTTCACTGTTAATATTTTAAATAAATAATAGCAATCAAGAAAATAGCAAACTAAAACAGAAAACTTACAAATAGAGAGTGAGAAAAGAAAGTGACATTTATTGTCCATGATTCAGTGAAATCTAATCTGCACAGTTTTTTTGAAATAAAAAGCATCAATTGTTGAATTGTTGCCATCACTCCCAGTTCAGAAACTTTTTTTTTTTTTTTTTTTACTGTGCCATAGTAAACTAAATGAAACCTCTAAGATAATAATGTTATGTTAATCTGTTGCATGGGGTGATACTGCCTGGCTGCTGGTATCTGCTGTGTTAGAAAAACCAAGGTATCTTCATTTTTCAGTATCCAACGTCAGTGGTTAAAAAGGGACACGTTTGGAAACCTCAGCCATGTTTCGGTTCCTTTTCGTCCCTCTAGGTATACTATGTGCTGATGACCTTAGAAACTGAATTCTTCATGAAAAGAACAAAGAAAGGGAGTGTGTTTCTCACTGTGTAATGCATGCTGAGTCATGAAGAAACCGTTTCTAGTAGACCACTTGCCACTTTCGCCAGGGGAGGTTTAGGTTGGATATTAGGGAAAACTTTTTTACCAAAAGGGTTGTTAGGCATTGGAATGGGCTTCCCAGGGAAGTGGTTGAGTCACCATCCCTGGAGGTATTTAAAAGACATTTAGATGTAGAGCTTAGTGATATGGTATAATGGAGGACTTGTCAGTATTATGTCAGAGGTTGGACTAGGTGATCTTGGAGGTCTCTTCCAACCTAGATGATTCTATGATTCTTATAATAAGCATGACTGAAAAATGTAAAGGACTTTGCCAGAGGGGAAACAGTTGCTCAGAATTTGCAGTGCAATTGTTGATTCCCTGCAACAGCAGATCATTTGCCATAATGTAGAACTGTCAGCAGTTACTTCACCACAATTCCTGCCTGCCTACACTCACACTTGTTTATGGTCTGATCTTCATTCTTTTTAAACACAGAACTTCCAACATCCATCATTCCTGTTTTACAGATGTCCAGCCATTCCCATCCTGACTACTAAATCTGCTAATTGCTCTCTGTCCTGCCCTGCATCTCTCCACTTATTTCTGTACTGATTTCTTCATGCATTTCTACTTGCGCCATTCACCTTTACCCTATTACCTGGCTTTTGTAGTTTTGGGTTCTCTGAAGGACATGCTTCAGTCATGTCCTTGGACTCCCCCATAACAGTCTGGAGTGTCCCCATGTTCTCCATCTCTATCAGTTTTCTGATCATAGCATCAAAATCAGCCAGTGGGTGTGGCTTTAGTTGCCTGGCACTATACTGTCCTGTGAGAAATACAGCCTTAGGGTAGGATGCAGAATTTCACTGATTATGATCTTTCAGCCCATTTCCTTTCTTCCCTTCATTGGCTCCTTCTTGCCTCTAGGCCTTCACTGCTTCATTTTGGGAATGACTTTATAGCCTCCTCCACCCCCCCATTACAACTCCAGTGGGGCTTTGACCTCACACAGAGGAGTCATCTGATGCAGACAGTGATAACCTTCCTGGTGCTGCCTATGGTCCTCTGCTTCACTGGACCGGAGAGCTGCTTTACTAGATTTCACGCACCAGCTCTTTCAACTTGGTGAGAGAGAAAACATATATTAACTAGTTTGTCTTATCCCTGTCCCTCAGGCCAATCTGAGAGCAGTAGCCAATGAACTATACTGGCTTGATATTTTGATTGTCTTTGCACCTCATACCAGGTCACGTTGCAGTGTTAACTAAGTAAGGGAAACATGAAATATTGAGTCATTTTTTTCTAGAGTGAGTTATCATTGCTATAACTCTGGTTTATCCAATTGTTTCAATTTCATCACCCCTCTCACAGGCTGCTCATTCCCCACCCCTCTGGATCTACAGTATGAACAGGGTAATCCATAGCCATTGTTCTTTTCTACCTTGGACCCCTCTTCAGACGAATACAAGGGCAGTTATTTGGACTTCACTGAGTCCATTCCATTAGCTACAGAGATGCACTTGTATCTCTTGGCCTAGTTAGAGAAGCATAGCTTTAGACAGGAATTAGTTGTCCAGTCCAGCCCCTATGACAATAAGCAGAAATGGTTATGATGATTCCAGAAAAGGACAAGACCATATTGAGCAAGATTTTGCATATAAGCTAAACCTATTCAGAGGCAGGAAGTGATGTCAACCTACCTAATGTCCAGGCCCAAGCACAAAAAACTTGATGCAAAATATGTCCAATTTAGATGCAATATCCAACAACTTCAAATTAGCTACATTTTCTGTTCCTTCCCCAACTCAGATGATCTTTTTTACCCATTCTCTCTGCTAAAAGCCCCAGCTTCCTTTCTTAAATGATACTATCCCTTTCTTAGTTATAACTCTACCTTTCTTTTAGATATATTTACCACTAACAATAATGTATTGATCTAATTTTGTTTGATCATTGACTTAGGTATTTGGTTTAAAGGCTTTTTTTTTTTTTTTTTAATCGGTTGAATTATCTAATGAAGCTAGATCTGTGTTGTAGAGGAATCTATATTATACAAATTGGTGTGAGTGAAGCAAGTGTGAGCTCTGCACCAGAGGCTGGAGGGGGGCTGCAGATCACAGCCTGTGTGCCTGGTGCTGGCTGCTGGTCTGGGGGTTGAGTGTCTGTATCTTCCCCAGACCTGGTGGGTGTGAAAGAGTGTGCATGTATTTGCTAGCAAACTTCAAGCTGGACTAGCTGGTGAGTCTTTGGCTGGGGAATCAGGTGGACAGGGGATCTCTGCTGATATGCCCAGGGGGACTTATGAATGTGATGTGCATAAGGGACAAGTGTATATGTGCATGTTTATTTGCACTGAACTTCAGATTGGACTAGCTGGCAAGTAGGTGACCCATGAAGGGGGTAAGAGGCCCAAGATCTGGACTGGGGTGCTGGGCAGACAGAGAGACTGTGACAGTACTCAGAGGATCTGCAAATGTGTGTATGCTTATGAACTTGGAGAACTCTGTGTGTGCCTGCAGCAGTGAACTTCTAACTCTACCAGCTGGAAAGGAGGAAGGGGGCTGTCCATGTTTTACATAAGTCCTGAGTGTAGGTGATGTTGAAGGCAGCCTTTGGCTGCAACAGCCTGTATGACCGGTTGTGTCAGTGTCTTGTCTCTGTTTGTGAGTCTCTGGGATACATGCTCAGCTTTGCTGCTGGTTAAACTTGCAAAAAGGAAAGTGGCAGCCCACTCAGTCTGCGCAGAGACCATGGCCCCCCCGAGCACAGGGGTGAGCAGCAGCAGCTGGGCAGGAGTGGTCCTTGTGCTGGAGCTGCTGGAGGACTCAGGGCCACTCTTTGCCCCACTTCACACATAGTTATCTGGACCTAAAACTCACCCATTAGTGATGTAGCAAAATGCCTGTATTTAAAACATTTTTGTCACTTAATCTGTCTGGTTAACTGTGCCACCTCAACACTAGTGTCAGCACTACAGAAGATGTAGAATTGTCCCATTTCAGAATACTCCTGGTAAGGCAGAAGCCCAGATTTATGCCAGAATGAATACCATGACCTGAATACCATGACTTCAGCAGGAGTATGTTTCCACATCTGGGATTATTTACTTATTCACTTTGGTTAAATAAAGGTGCTGGTGAGGACTTGAAAGTATTACACATTCCCTGTGAGGAATGCACACCTTTGATATGCAATCTTAGCACTGAATTGGGTACAGGTTCCTTTAGATCCAGAGATCTCTACAGGGAGCATGCCCCTTGTTTTACTAGTCACATGGCAGAACTGAAAATTCCACATTCCAGTCCCACTCCCTTTTACTAGGTCTTATGAGCTGTGTCTTGAGATCTCTTAAGGCCTGAGTATATTGCTACTGATATATGGTATATTGATCTCACTCCTTATCACACACCACTGCCCACTGTAGGAGACAGTATGTGACAAATTTATTCATCTATGTATTATTCAACCATTCAATTTACTAATTTAATTTTTTTTTTTTTTTTGGGGGGGGGGAATGATTTAGGTTCCTGAAATCGTATTCTAATAAACACTTGCTGGGATTAATCTATTCATTTATTTATTTATTTTTGATTAACTGGAATAAAATAAAAGAAGGAAGGAAGGAAGGAAGGAAGGAAGGAAGGAAGGAAGGAAGGAAGGAAGGAAGGAAGGAAGGAAGGAAGGAAGGAAGGAAGGAAGGAAGGAAGGAAGGAAGGAAGGAAGGAAGGAAGGAAGGAAGGAAGGAAGGAAGGAAGGAAGGAAGGAAATTTTTTTATTTTTTTTTTTTAAGAAAAAAAATAACGAGTATTTTGAACAAGAAGCTGAAGATGACCAAAGATCACCACCTGGTACAGAGATTTCACTGTCTGTAAATCAGTATATATGTATATATATATATGTATATATATACTTGTATATTTTTACTTCTGTAGTGAGTTCAATAGGTCTGGGAGAATTATTATCTTGATTTGACAAGCTAAATTCCTGACATGCCTAAATTCCAGACAGGCTTTGAATATCTCAGGAAAAAAAAAAAAAGTATTGAATATAAAGATCATTACTAATAGTAAAGAATTAATTAATTAATTAATTAATTGTAAAAGCCATTGGTAATATAAAACTCTACATAAAGTCAAGAACTGTGGAAGATATTTGGTACAGTAAATGATAGTTGGCGTTAAATGTGAGTTTGAAAATAATTACAGAATCGTCCCACAGACTACATGGTGAAAAGCTATCATTCAAGTCCTAGACAAAGCATAGTCCAGACTGAGACTCCACTATAAATAGCAATTTGGTCTGGCAAGGTGAAAGGCAAGGGTTAATAAGACATGAGGTTTTTGTTTTGTTTTGTTTTGTTTGTTTTCCCCTAGAATAGGTACTCTGTAAGAACAGCTGTTCCTGCATTTGATATTGTTAGATCACCATCTAGAGGGCATTTAAGAACACATGCTTACAATTCTGATTTATTTATTTTTTGATATGTATTACTCTCTACAGAAAGACCCAAAGAACATGAAATACACAAAAGCAATAGACATTATATCTTCTTTTCCCTTTCAATTGTACCAGTCTTTTATCTATCCATCTATATAGATATATATTCCAACTTCAGAATTACCTTGGGCACTTCTTGAAAGGAGTGGCTAAAGAAATGTTGACAATGAAATATGATATTTCATATTAGGTGACCTTCTATTATTATGGTCCTATCAAATGTAGACCCATTCAAATTTATCTCTTTCTAACTTTGAAGAAAGACACACTCTCACTGATTCCTAAAATCTTTCACACTCTTTTCATGCTTTAGGATGTTGTTAGCTAACTATGAGGCAAAGTCCATGGTGTTTCTGCCTGAAAGTGTATAGAACCTTTGTATATCAGAAGAGCCCAGTGATGTCACAATGTGTCCCAGGACTGTGATGCTAAGGAAATTATGACTGTTAGCTGAAGGGGGGTGAGGAACAAAAGTGTGTCAAGTGGACAAGAGATTTGGATGAGGAGTAATCCAACCCTGATGGTTTCCTTGAGATATGCCATCTATCTGGTGTCTATGCTCCTTGCCACTTACTGCCTCGTCTTCTCCAATGCCTTCATACCACTAGAAAGCCAGACCAGGACAGCCAAGGAGGGACAGCAAGAAGGAAACAGTCCATCAGCAGGTGAGAAGACATGTTGAAGTGGGAGGATAAGAAAGAGGAGACTTAGAGAGTAAGAAAGGTAGAAGATGAGATGAGATATGGACACAGCAACTTGGTTTTGCAGAGACAAATGCAGAAGAGGTGTGAAAAGTGATGTGAAATGATGATGGGGACCAGTTGTTCCCTAAGGAACAAGAAGCCACCAAGTATAACAATACCTGCAGGGCAGAGCCCTCACCCACCAGGGCCCAGTCCCCATAGCCCCTGAGAAGCAGCAACAGGGCAATAAGGACAGGCCTGGGGAAGAGATGAGTAGGCATGTCCATGATGGTGAGGCAGGTCTGAGTTCAAGCAGGAAAGTCAGTCAGTGCCAGGATCAGACTCAATGACAATAACCAGGGTCAGACACAGCCTACCCCTACACTTAAACCACACAGAAAATGTGGGAGGATGCACAAGCTTAGGCAAGTCAGGACTATTAAGGTCTCAGTTCACTCATGGCCCTGACTGCAGCCTGCATTCTCAGTAGGTTCTTCTCACAACATATGGAGTGAGGGTTTAGAATTGACAGGCTGTAGAATGATTTAATTGCTACAGGGTGCCACAGGTCAATTTCCAATGGTGAAGAGCCAGGAAAAGTGACAAGGACCTGGGAAGTGGACATGGCATATGGGGGACTTAAAGCCTAGTGTGCTTGAAAAGAAGGGTCCAGGCCACCTCAGGGGAGCACAAGAGACTGGGCATACTAGGGGTGCAGGGGGCCTCACTCAAAGTCCCAGTGGCTGGGTAGGTGATGGGCACTGAAGACATCAGTGCCCAGAAACAGGCTGATCCTTTGGAAGGATCTGCTCAGTGGTGGGTGCGGCTCCATGTTGTTCATCTTAGGGCTCAGGAAAACCCAAGCTAATTTTCATTGAGTTCCAGCTGCTTTCTAAGGGACAAAGAGCCAGTAGACAAGTGTCTGCTCACCAAGGCAAGCAAGGCAGGCCTGGAATACTAGTTAGAGTCAGTCAAGAATATAGATCATTGGACAAGTCCATGATTATGCAGCAGATCAATGGTCAAGCTGGAGATGAAAGGATCAGGACAAATGAAACTAACCAGAGTCAGACTGTCCAGTGTCTGTCAGGCAAGCCCATAGTGATGACACATTCAAGGCCAAGTCAAGAAGTCAGTCTGCAAGTTGGGAGACAGAATAATAGGGTCCCTCTCCAGGAACAGATAAGGTGAAGCTAGAGCTGGAGATAGGTTTGCTTACAGCATGCCCCAGAAAGGGGCTGGAGTCCCAGGCCTGAGCTTAAATGAAGCTCCAGGAACCATGGGCAGAAGATGGGGTTCCAGGTCAAGCTGGTAAGGGATATGGGGGAGATCAGAGCTGAGCTTCCTCAGAGCATGGTGGAAGCAGGGAACCAAAAGTTCTTTAAGAATCTCCAAGGCAAGAGTTAAAACTCTAAGGAGAAAACAATTCTTAGAAGATCCCACCTGCAATAAGAAACAAGTGCTCCTAATGCGTAACTCCCTGCAAAATCAGATCAGTGCTTGAAAGAGCAGTATCTAAAATAACTTAAATTACCCAATGGCAAGTCAGTAATTACTGTTCTTAATTCCTGGAAAAATAAATAAATAAATAAATGACTGGCTGTGCCCTGGAAAAGGCAATGGCTCTGGACCTTTATCTGAATTGTTATCTTTGGAATTGTGGTTCTCCTAAAGTTCTCCCATCTTTTTCAGAAGTGATCAGTTCCTCTCAATGTGACAATAGGTCACTCTTAAAAAGAAAGAAAGAAGAAAGAGAGAAAGAGAGAAAGAGACAAAGAGACAAAGAGACAAAGCATACCCATACACAGTATACCCAGGAAACAGGATCAAAGTGCAGTAATTCAGGGACAAGTCTGAAAAGCTGGGCCAGCTTGGGAAGAGAGAAAGCAAGACATGCAAGAGTCAGGGAGAAGGTGTGTTGAGAAGGAAATGGGGAAACTACCCAAACGCAAGAATGTGAAAAGGAGGGAAGAGAAAATCATTCCTGTTACACTTGTAACAAGAGAATGGGAAAGATTGTGTTGAGAAAAGATGAAAAAAAAAAAAAATCCTACAAGTCACAAACCACTGGAATCCAGATGCCATTACACGGTTCTTCCAATGCCTTGCTTCACTGTACCTCAGTTCCCGTGGTAAAATAGCAATAAAGATGGTCTCCCCCTCCTCAATGGCAGCTTACTACCCTGTAACAATGGCATGAACATATGAGGGCAGAGGGAGAGAAATTCAGGCCAGGTTTACACACATACCCACATACATCGAGGAACAACATTTGCGAATTATGAGAACACTGTGGGGAGGGTGAGCATTGAGGAATGCATACAGAATTGAGAAGAATAAATCCAAGGAAAGACCAAGGGAAGGAGACAGAGAGTGGTGTGAATGAAAAGCTCCTTACTATGAAGGAGAAAATGGACACGCAGTAAGGGTAAAGTGAAGTCTTAAGTTTAGAAAGCAGGTAGAGAAAAGAGCTAAGGACTCAAAGTTCAAAAATGTCCAAAATAATATTTTAATACAAAATGGGAGAAAGGAGAAAAATTATGTTGTCCATACCCATCTCTAGCTGCAGGCTGGGAGCAAATGGAAGAAACATTTGTGGCTTCGTCTACAGGAGAAGGAATGGAGCTGATCAATATGGTCCAACAAGAGGACTATCAGAGACTGAGGAATTCAGCTGTGAAGGATCTGCTGTTGAATCAGGCCCTTTTCTTGAACATTATCATCACCTTGCTGTTTCTTCAATGCATGACATAAAGTGTGAAATCATTGTTGTGGTCACAGATGATGGCAATGTGAACATCTACTTGTGTTTCAAGATCACCTACTAGGCAGCAAGGCTTCTTTTCACCACCCGCATCCCACTGAATCCACAACACTAAGAAAAAAGGACAGAGACCTTCTGCACATATTGAAAGTGCTTCTTCTTTCTTCTCCCCTTGAAAAAAGTAACTAATAAATTCAGTAAGGGCTCATGCAATTGTTTTCTAATCCAGACCTCCCTTCTTGCATTTCTCACATACTTTTAAACTGTGACATGAAAAGGTTCACTCTACACTGTGTGATAAACTGACTCGATGATAGCGATCATAGGATTATAGTGACAGCCATTTATCTGGTTTGATGGCCAGTTACCTGTGATGTTCCCGAGGGCCCAATTCTATGGCCAGTCCTGTTCAACATTTATATCAATGATCTGGATGCAGAAGTTGAATGCAGCAAGTTTGCTGATGACATTAGACTGGGAGGGGCTGTTGACTCTCTGGAAGGGTGAGAGGCCTTGCAGAGAGATCTAGACAAATTGGAGCATTGGGCAATTGGCAACGGCATGAAGTTCAACAAAGGAAAATGTTGGGTTCTGCACCTGGGACAGAGTAATATCAGACGCAGGTACAGGCTGGAAGAAGAGTGTCTAGAGAGCAGCTCATCAGGAAGGGATCTGGGAGTGCTGGTTGACAGTAGGCTTAACATGAGGCATCACTGCACCCTGGCAGCCAAGAGAACAAACTGCATTTTGGGGTGCCTTAAACACAGCATAGCCTGCCAGTCAAAAGAGATGATTCTTACACCGTGTTTAGCATTGGAGTGGACTCAATTTGAACATTTTGTACAGTTCTGGTCTCCGCAATATAAAAATGATAGTAAGATACTTGAATGAGGAGGGCAACAAAACTGGTAAAGGGTCTGGAAGGCACATCCTGTGGGGAGAGGCTGAGGACACTTGATTTGTCTAGTCTGGAGAAAAGAAGGCTAACAGGCCACTTGATTGCTCTCTACAGCTTCCTGAGCAGGGGAATCACAGAGGGAGGTGCTGGTCTCTTCTCCCTGTTAACCAACATTAGGACACGAGGGAACAGCCCAAAGCAGCACCAGGGGATGTTCAGACCAGATATTAGGAAAATTTCTTAACTGCAAGGGTGTTCAAACACTGCAACAGACTTCCTAGTGAGGGGAATGATGCCCCACACCTGTCAGTGTTTAAGAGGCATTTGGACAATGCCTTCATTAACATACTTTAACTTTTGGTTAGCCCCGAAGTGGTCAGGCAGTTGGACTACATGGTCTTTGAAGATCTCTTCCCCAGTTGAACTACTTGGTTCTATCCTGTTCTAATTTGGTAAAAAAAAAATAAATTAATAAAAATAAAAAAAAAATCTCATTAAGACGAGCCTTTGCTTTTTATACACATTATAAACAAAGAAGCCAAGCTGTCTCAGTCCAGTGAAATAACTGCTATAATACACACAAGTTCTGATATAATGATGCATAGAACTAATTATTATAGCACCTGATAGAAAGACCAAACATTTTGAACATGCTGGTAGGATAAATTTAATTAAGCAAGTAGAGGAGTAGCATGCACTGTTTAAAAGATAAAGATAAGCAAAATTTGAATTTTGTTATTTTTTATGATGAGTAAATAAATCCCGTTATTCTGAGGAATTATTTATTATTAGTGAAGTTTAGCTACAAACTCTGGTTATGCTGGGAACTGTACAAATAAAGAACAAAGAAACAAAACCTGGCCATAAAGAGTTTCTAATCAAAGTATGTTTTTTTTCCTGAAGCATGTTCATTATTAAAATTTTAGTTTTTAATAAATGAAAAAATCTCTGCACAGTCAACTCTTGGAAAATACTTTGCTGCATTGGTCAGTACCTCAAAAGGAGTAACACAGTTATTAAGATTTCCATAATGGTCGTTATGCTTATATTGATAAGGGGTGTTTTCACTTGCCATCATCTATTCTACAAACAAACCCAAGGCATACAATATATTAAGTAAAATAAATGGAGCAGTTTGAAGTTAATGCAAAAAGGAGAGTTTTGTATACTTATTAATTTTGGTAAAATGTGTAGAAGATGGATGTATGTATATATATATATATTTAAATTATCAGAAGGTGAAATTGATGAAATTAATATGTTGTTCTTGAGAATGTGCTTTAATCATGTCTCTCGCTGCCCTAAAATATATTATTTCTTACTCTTTATTTTTTCTGAAGTAAATTAATATCTAAAATTCAGTTTCAAGTAGACGGTGAAATTCTATGCTTGACAAGCTCGTCTTTTTGGATGGTAAATATTTACAAACGCAGGGATAAGAAAACTAGGAGGGATGAGAGAAACTGGTTTGGGTCCAGAGAAGTTCTTGGAATTCTTAATATTCAAGTTAATGATCTTCAGAGACCCCTAGCAACTCCTGTTACTGTTCCACACTTCACCCTTAACCATATCCTCAACCTTAAACAGAGACTAAGAAATAAAAAAGGAATCTTGCTGGAAAAGAAACAAAGCAGAAAGAGAATTAGTTCTCAGCTCCCAGTCTCACTTTCCTCGAAGATGATGCTTTCCTAGATTACATGAGTAACCTTCATTATTTAGTAACTCATCTTCCAGCCTAGAAAATGCAGCCACTGAGTTTTCCCTACTAGTTATCAGCAGATTGAATAGAAGTGGACTCTTCCTTCTCTGATAACTTACATGTGTAGTTTGCATAGTAACACAGAATTTTCCGAAGAGACAAACTTGTATGATCAAATCTTAGGAGTCTAATATATTGCCGTGCCCATTCAACATGACCGAGGTTGCTAGAATAGACAGGGAAATGCACTGAACAGATAGCATGATGATGTAACAGTACTTCTGTTTACAACTCATCAGAAGTTCTTACCTACTAGAGACTGTCTAGTCATCCTTTTACCTTGGGACTTACTGGTCTACAGAGTTGTCCCATTTGGGGGACAGTGCTGGGAGCAGTGGGAAGACACCTTTTCCCCTTATGAGCTCAATTTGAGGCTTTTGCTACCATAAACTGACAAGAAAAGGATATCAAGAAAAAGAAGGCAGAAGAGTGAATAAAAGCCCCATGTCACCCCATGGGCTCTGAGTATGACCCCGTGGGTCATACTTGCATAGGTCAGGCCTTCATCTTCCTGGAGTTGTATCGTTCTTCCTCCTCCGTACAGATTACCAAATGTGGCACTTGCTGTCTGGGTTCATTGGTGATCTACTGGGACAGTGGAAGTGCTTGGAAAAGTCCTTGCTATTGCTAACAGGTCCACGGATGCGAAGTGACAAGGGACTGTGTGGATCTGTGTTCAAGGAAGACTGTAATTCCTCAGGATCCTGGTGTCCACACATTGCCTGAAGGAAAGTAAAACAGAAAAGTCAGTTTGGGTGACTGTCCTCATGTAAATAAATCATAAGTTCTTATGCCTCTGCACATTCCACATCACTGAGGCTGCTGAAATAGACTAAGAACCACTTTCATGGGTGCCAACAATGTTCAGATACTTCCCTTCACAACCACAATTTATGACTATTTTCCCTTCCCTTTCCCTAAACTTCTCATTCCCAATTTTCCTATCCAACCAGCCACCTGCTTTTTCTCTAAGCTACACAGTCCACAACAAAATGAATTGGGTTTTGGGTTCATGCAGCCTTGGACTCCAAAGTTCCTATCGTGTCCTACTGTTGTCCTACCGTGACAGTATAGATGTAGCCTAAGTGTCCAGACTTAGTTTATTAACAAAAATGAATTATATCTCATTAGGAAAGGTGAGCACTCATTACAACATCCCATTACTACTACAGACAGTGGGGGGAAGATTATATGACTTTATTGGTGTTACAACTGGAAATCCAAATTTTCACTCTTGTGATTCCAGTCTTTATTCTTTAACAAATGATGTAGTAGCTGTCAGATCATCTCTGAAACGCAAATCTTGGTGTCGAGACCCTATTATTTGTAATTTCAGAACTGAATTACTGCTTTTCTGCATATTGTGTGGACCTGATGCCAACACATAGAGAAAATTTTCCTTTTGCACATTTACAGTCATTAATATGGGTATGACCTTTCTGAGCACAGAAATCTAGTGGCATGATGATGAAATTAAAAAAACTCACCTGCAGAACCACATAACTTTGCACAAATCCTTAAACCATGTTCCCACAAAAATCTCCAACTATGTGTGCATGTATTTCTCATTCTTTATCTCTAAACTATATTTATATTCTAAACTTTTTTCTCTACCAGTCACTCAGAATGACCTTACAACTTGACGAAGAGATGGATGGAGCAAGGGATGGAGACCTATGTGTGTTTTCCACTAAAATTTCATTTTCCATTAGTAAGATTGCTCAGAGTAGCAAAAAAGTACTGAGGATGGCAAAGAAGTCCTCTTTCTCTGACACAACTTGTCTGCTACAACTTAATTTTGGTAGACTTCAGAGCTTTGTAAAAGATATATTTACAGACAGGCATCTTGTTTGCAGTGAGATCCATGACAGATTAAGAGCCCCATATGTAAATTTTAGCTTTCTAAATAAGATTCTGAATCTTCCAACAACATCTATCATTCCCAGTTCTAGGAAGAGTGGGGAAAAAAAAAAAAAAAGACTGAATATTGAGAAGGACAGACTGTCATAATGTAGAAGATAATGGAGAGTGAGAGACACGTGACTAGCCTAGAATTCATTACATGAGCAAAACTGAAGTAGAAAAGCTGGTCGTGTGAAAGTCCGATCTTGGGTAAATCCTCCTGTTTGTGCTTATTCATCCAATTCTTATAGGCCTGTGGAGAGAGAAAATTAATAGTAAACTCCACTTCAGACAGTGTCCAAGAAACATGTCTTCTGTCAATTAAATATATCAGTCTGGTATATTTTTAATATATTTAGCATGCTTGTATCTCTTTCTGCTCACTCTGATGTGCCTAATAGCTGTAAGAAGGGAGAATAACAATGTTAATTCCTTTGCTTCCACTTTCTGACACTACTGTACACAGCTGGTCAGAAGAGATGTGATGACTGCACTATCAAAAAAAAATGAAAATTACTTTCAAAGAAAGTTACAGATATCTGAAAAACTTTATTTATTGGTGCTATGAATGCCATCAAAAAATTTTTGTGTCTGTAACAGTCTCAAAGTTCTTCACACAGAAATGCAACAAGTGCCATTTGACACCCAGATAACTCAGAGCACTCTGCACTCATTAATTAACTAAACCTCTGAATTCCTGCAGGAGTTCTAGACAGAAATATTGCTGAAAACATGACAGTGGAGTAATTTTATCATAATACAGAATTCTAGTTCGTATCTCAACTTAGTTCCTTAGGTTTAACATAAATATATAATAACCTAATATAAAATAATAACTTGTTTTGTATGCATTACATAATTAGGGATGTAAAAAAAGGACCACCCCAGAACAGGTGAAGGGGATAAGTGGTCTTATATGGTGGTAGTGAGATTATAAGCACAGCTCTGTGAAGAACCTATGTTTGGAATACCAGAGGAAATGTAAAGCATACGCTGCACTGGCACAGACATGCAAGAAATCTGGGACTGGAGCAGTATGTAGGACAGCGATATTACAGGGCAGTCTTAGGACATGCCAGTTGAGCTGTCTGGTGAGACTCTGAGATCATAATAATGACATCAGAGAAATAAGTAAACTACAATACCTGGTAAGCAATGGCAAGCCCTCCATTGTCAGCTGTATTCTCCAAGAGCGTAAGAGTACCGTTGACCTTAAAGTCAAAGCTTTCATACTGTACAACAAAGCAATCTATAGATTTCTGTAGCACACTGCTGTTGCATGTAGGACAGCCACCAGGCAGCACTGTAGGGAAAAAAAAATCCTAGAAAGTAAAGCTATTTCTGATGTTTACTTGTATTCCCGACACTGAGTTTTCTTCATAGTTCATTTGGTATGGAGTGGATTTCCTTAGCTTCACCTGATTTGATAATGTATGTATATATGGATATAGGGGCCAGGACTGAAGAACCCCTAAGGGAAACTACCACTGGGGGCCTAGAACAGTAAACAAAGAGGATAAGCTTTACCCTGCAGCTGGTACCCACCATAACCATAGAATGCATGAAGAAGTTCATGTGCCATGAAGACCCCAATAGCTCCGAAGTTCACAGCACTGAAAAATAAACATGAAAAGAATGATTTTGAAAATAAAAGAAGAACAGGTGAGCATTCTTTATCACCACTGAGCACAACTGTGTACTGCAAAGAAGCATTCTACCCTGAGAGACCACAGAAGCACTTTCTGTTTATTGCCTCCCAGATGTGGTAGTCTGTAAAAATATGAACACAAATGTAAATTACTCTACCAATGCTTGAAATTGCACAATGGACTTGCATTAAAGCATTCCTAGCTAATAAGCCATCTTAATAAGAGAGAATTAAATTCTGCCCTTATTAACTGTAGTGTGATACACTGTTGAGATACGTCCTTAGTTACCCATTCATCATTGGCTGAACTGCTACATAAACAGTAACTGCAATGGCAAAATACAAGAGCAGGATGGTTGGAAAGGCAGTCTTGCAGCAGTCATCTTGTGAAACACAATACATAAAACTGGTAAGGCAAATTAAAATCATGAAGGCTTTACTAAAATTACTCAGGCCTCACTACAAGCAGGAGGTTCTTTCCAATATGAATTTCTATCATTCTGTGCAATGAATTTACAGTCACACAAGCATGAGTACAATTAAAATATATTTCCATAATACAAAATGATGATTTTGTTTGTTTGTTTGTTTGTTTGTTTTACAGCCACTGATTAACACTACTAAAGCATGAAATGGGTCTAGAATCATAGAGTCATAAAAAGGTTCGGGTTGGAAGAGACCTTGAAAATCATCTAGTTCCAACCCCCCTGCCAATGGAGACACCTTCCACTAGACCAGTTTGCTCAAAGCCCTATGCAACCTGGACGTGAATACTTCCAGGGATGGGGTATCATTATTATATCAACAGGAACTCATTAGGACACCGACAAGGACAGGATAATTTATCTTCTTTTAGAGTTGCTCTTGCAGAAACTCTGGAGCTTATAATGATTGAACTGTCTTGCCAAATTTTAGTTTTAACAAGTATACTCATAGTTATCTGAACTGGCAAATTATTTTTGACAGTAAAATTTAAATTCTGGAGCATCATCTGACCAACTGTTAATGTGCCAACACAAGTTTGACTTATGAGTCTACTGACCCAGAATGAAGGTGAGAAAAATATATTTTACTAACACCAGATACAAAAGGAATAAGAAGCTGCAGACACTTTCTCTCTCTTCTTTCTTTTTTTTTTTTTTTTTTTTTTCCCCAGAGGAACAATAATGTGAAAACCTACACCACTGGATTTTTTTCCTATTATTCTTTTCCTATTCTCCATAATATAATGAATTCATGAAACAATGCAAACACTAGCAAATGTCATACAAGTAGTGGCAGAAGATTACCATGGAAAAAATAATTACTTTAATTGAGATGGGTTTCTTTCAGACTTCAGTCTCTTCCCACTGTGTGAACTGATCTTTGGAGTATGATGGGATTATGTCAAGTCTCTGTCAGTTATCATGCAAAAAAAGGACATCAGATAATATTTTTACAGTCAGATGTTTAAGTGCTTTTTAATACCAGAAAAAAGAAAAAAAAAAAAAAAAAGAGAAAAAAAAAAAAAAAAAAAGGTTTAAAAGAACTGTTCAGTATGATGAAAGAACCCAACTATGAAAGTATAGTCTATAGACGTATCGTTGTTGCAGGAGAAGTCTCAGAATGAAAAATATGTCTGCTAATTAGAGGAGGTTTCTTGAAGAAAAGGAAGAACAGAACTGTGTTTGATCCATTTGAAAAGACTTTTTACAAGAAATTGTTCCTATTTGCTCTGGGTTGTATTTCTATGAATTAGATTGAAGAAATACTTGGAATCTAGAAAAAGAAAGGCAGAGGTGCTTTTTTTTATTTATTTATTTTTTCAATTAACCTATGCAAGACTTCTACCTCTTTGCTTTGGGATGATACACTTGTCTCAGCTTACTTTCACCTATATTCTAATATTGCTCCAGCAAACTCTTTCTCTGCTTCCAGAGAAAGATCACACTCTATCAGAGTTCATAGAGCAGAACTGGCAAGCCACATCCATGTGGCTTTAGAAAAAAGCTATTTTTCCCCTTATACTTGATCTTTCTGGGATGCAGTTAGAAATAGAGGTTCAGGACACATTCACTGAGATTCTTGCTGGAAACATGGTGTAGCAAAAGGACTACATTCAGCTTCCACTTTTGCAGCCCCTTCATACCTGGGAAACTCCATGTGGAAAAAAGGGCTGCGGAACATTCCAGCAGGAAAGACCACCATGTGGTGCCTTAGTGAGTAGTATGAATGGACAGCCCAGGGGGACACCTGCCAGCTAGAAGCAGAAATGAGAGAACGTATTAATCTGTACCTCATACCTTGCTCCTTTCCTCCATTGGGTGCACAGAAATGCTTTGCTCCATACAACTGTTCACGCAATGAAGGAAAATGATGAAATTCACATTTTCTAGAGTTAAAGGTGCTTGAAACAAACCTTCACTCATTTACAGACAGAGCTGGTAGCTTAGCTTTCACACACATTTAGAGATTCACCTTCACAATTTCACTGTCAAATAAGTCAGAATTATTAACCTTCTGTAACGTCCTACACAGAATACACCTCAAGTCCCAAGTATGCCTATCTCCACTCCCTGCCTTCAGAAGCATCCATGTCCCGACTTCGAGGTGTTCCTGCCAATATTCATCTCCACATAATGCTTTGCTGTCAGATAGCTCAGCCCAGGAACACCAGATATTCCTCTGTATTAGGGGTTTATGACAATAAGCAGAAAAGATTCCATTTTGAAGGGTTTGGGATTCCCTCCACAACAGTGGTGGTTTTGATAGCAGGAACTCATGCTGAACACAAGATAGAGTGCCATGTTCAGGGCTTTTTTTTAAGATGAGACAGGAATGTGTCCTTGCAGAAAAGGACAATGGCATCCTGCCCTGCATTAGGAGAAAAGTCACCACTAGGTCAAGAGGTGGTTATGAACCTTTGTTCAGGACTAGTGTAACCACAGCTGTAAATACTGTGTCCAGTTCTGCCAGAGCCTTTCCCATCCTTAGTAAAAGAGAGATATAGACAGACATCTGGATACACTCCTGAGTGACCTCTTCCAGCTGATCCTGCTTTGAGCAGGAGGATTGAACTAGGAGATCACCACAATTACCTTCCTTATATAAAAAAAATAACCTCAGGTAATCTGTTTTTTTCATATCAACATCTGACACTTACTTAACATGTGAATGATGCTGAAGGAGTTTTGAGTAGGAATTCTCCCTCATTGTCTTCAAGCAAGCCACCACATTGAGGAAAAAAGTGTCTTCATTTATCTCCAGCTGAGGGAAGAGTTGGGAAATGTCAATGTCACAGAGCATGAGAGAGGAATGAATTGGACAGTATGAGAGAGAGGAAAGTCCCACAGGTAAAAAAGAGTTTCATCAAAAGGCAAACCAATGCAACACTTGTTGTTTTTGTCGTGTTTTGTTTGTTTTTTTTTTCCTCTCCCAGGTCAAAAGACTTTTGATTTAAGATGTGACCAGAACATTATCTTCAAACAGAGCATACAAACAGGTCACAATCAGTAGGAGGCAGCACAGGCAACACTGGACAATGTAGAAGCAATAGATATGGGTTGTCTGGATCCACCTCTTCTCAGAAAGCGATATGTGCATTGCTCAGAGTTTATGGCCTCTTTTATCAGCAGACAAGATAGCAGTTGGTACAAGTAAACTGCCAGTAGTGAGACAGACAGGTTTACATTATATAGCTCACATTCTGGTATTCCAGGTTCACTTTGGCAGTCTGAAGTATGTAAGCTGGATAGCCAATCTCCACTTGTAGCGTGGACATCTAAAATTATAATTAAAAAAAAAAAAACAAATGTGACCAACAGGGAGTTTTACATTCTGGAAGTCCCTTTTAAACTCTATTTCTAAACAAAAATAGGATCTATTAATCAGCAGTTTACAAAAAACAACTGCTCTTTTTCAACAAGACATCTCCTCTTGTTATTCTGTTCTACTTTTTTTATTTTTTAGTACAGTTTTCTGGAATTCAGTTTATATTTTTAAAATTCTATAGATGTGTAAATCTGGAGGTACTATGTAACTCATTACATTACATTAATTCACAGTATCTGTGGCCTATGTATCAGTGTCATGTGCATGATGACACCTATAGAACCACATAAAGGTTTTAGTGTGTATAAGGAATCTATTTAAAATTGTGTGCCTGTAGAAACAGGTAGAAATATGTAGGCTCCTTCCATTTTTCTCCAGAGACTATAGGGAAAGGTTGGCCTCAGTAACTTCTGCCTTCTGCACGCACCAAAACTTTAGCTTGTTGGCGTGTTTGCTCATCCATCCACTCCAACTGATCCAGTTGGCTGTAGAGAGCATCTTGGATCTCAGAGAACATCTCTTCAGCCTGCCATGGAGAACAGAAGGCACATTCAGAACTGCAGAAAAACATTGTTCAGGCCTAGTTATTGTCTTCCCATGTTCCAGCAATTCAACCATACAATAGTTCGAATATTATTCCTCTTCTCTTGATGAAAGAAGAAATAGCAGCTTCTATATCTATTTAGGCTTAAGTTTCTTAGGCATCCAGTGGTTTCTCACAGATGTCATCATTCTTTCCCACACACCTTTTCCTCTTGACCATCATAGTAAGAGGGGAAACATAATCCCTTTTCATTAAATCCCTTTTGGGATGGGAATGGATCAAATGATTGTCCCATTTCACAAAATATCCACAATAATTTCTTATTGGTGTCTCCCTTTCCAAAGTTTCCCTCCTTAAAAAAAAAAAAAAAAAAAAAAAAAAAAAAGTCTGATCATCAAAGTAAAAAAAGATATCTTTTCCACAGTGCCAGCAGGTGTTCCATTTACTGTGCATCCTCTCAGAATGTTTTGATATTGATTTGTTTCTGTAAAACTGGTCATAAATATTATGCAGTCCTTGATCACCCACCATTCCCTTATTGGCTTTATGATTGAAAAGTTTCTTTAAATACTTAAGGATTTCTGATGAATAATAACTGCCATTTCAGTTAAACACACTGAAATGGCATGCGCTCACAGGGTTCTCATAGGTATTTCTGCAGTCCATATAGCTTTGCTAACAGATGAGATAAAGATTCTAAGTGGTATTTAACATTGATTATTCTAGCAATGACAGTGCTCTTGTTCTGTTGATATCACACATTTCCCCCAAACAGAAGTATGTAACATACAGGAATGCATAAAAAGGTATAAAAGCTTTTGCTGCCTTGATGCTGTTCTAAGCTGACAGGGAAAAAAAAAAAAAAAAAAAAAAAAAAAAAAAGGAAGGAACAAAGCTGAGCTCTGCTTGGGGTATAAGAGGATGAATACCTACAAGTTTCTTGGTTTGCTGAGGGAAAATTTCCTTCACAATCATCTGCCCTAGGACTGGCTCAAAGAAAGAGCTGGTATCAGCCAAACACTTCTTCCAGCGCTCAGCTGGGGTCTGTAAGAATAGAGAAAAAAATAAAGACACCTGAGAGTGAAGAGGAAGAGACAGAAAGATGAAGACAGTAAAAAGATAAATAAACATGCTGTCAGTAGTTTATATGTTGTTATTTAAAAATGACAGCCATGAATACTGAAAATTTTAATACAGTAAAACAAATAATTGTTTACCCTACTTGTATTCACACACGATGAATACTCATATTCTGACTGTAACAAATAAATAGAAGGAAGGTGGCTATCTGTACATTGTTTCCCACCCCATGATACAGTGCAATTAGCCCTTGAAAGTTTTTTTGTGTCATGTTTACAACTCCTTGAGAAATGTGAAGCCTTAATTGGCCTAGTAGGAGTGGTTCTCCTCTCCAGATCTAAGACGTTCCACCCAGGTGAAGGATCAAGAGAATATCCAGAAGGTGTGCGCTGTGGAAGAGAAGATATTTAAAAGCTAACTCACCACTTTAGATCCCATTTTCCCATGAAGAGTCTTATATAGCTCCAAGCGTGCATCTTGGAATCGGCTGTCAAGGGCAGGGGAGAGATTCCCAACCAGACAAAGAATCATATAGATGGAAAGAACCCTGTAGGAACATGACATTTAGAAAGACCAATTGAGAGGACCCCTTTAGCCCACATTAAGATGGGGTCACCTCCTAGCTGGATGAAGTCAAATATTTAAGAAGTTATTCCATCAAAACCCTGGACCTAAAAAAATGAGCAGAAACCAGTCATCACTGAACAGCAAACAATATTCAATTTTATGAATTAAAAGCAAATATGTGGACAGGATACCATGCGAAAGCTTGATGGAAATGACAAAAATCATGAATAACTCTAAGAGGAGAACAAAGTCAATACAGTGATTTTTTTTTCAGCAACAGTCAGATTATGAGGCAGAGGAAATCTGGTAGCCTGAACAGTGACAACAAAGATTCCTGAATGGACTACTCCTGGGGCTAACAGAAGGACGATGATTTTCTCATTCATTTTGCTATGAAAGCCGCTGACATGAGTCAACCAAAGAAACTCATACTCAAGAACACCCTGAAGACTCAAGGGATAATTACCTACTCGAGTACAGGATTCATTATCGGAAGAAGGGGAAAGAGCACTTTAGGACTGGGTAATACTTATTATGGGATACTTTGAGGGGACTGTAGGATTCTGTGAGACTTAATATGGGATGCTTGTATGAAGCACCAAACGCAGAGAAAGGGACGGATCATGGTGGACTGGGAGGAGTTACGCATGGTATAGTTAAGGGGAAAGGTGATAAGAGAGAATGGACTACTGTAAACTTGTGTCTTGTCAGTATGTCTGTCTGGTTGAGTCCTGTGCATGGTCACCAGAGTCTGTTTCATCAAGTTATTTTTAAATATCTTTGTTTGTGGGTGTGTTTGTTTGTGGGGATGGGACTGGATACCAGGGAGACAAGGTTGGCTATTGGAGAGACCAACAGTTTGACCAGCTACTGGAGAGATCTGTTTTTAATGTGTATTTGTAACTAGAAGATATCTGAATACCAGCAACCAGAGTTGGGCTGCAAGTCTCAGTGGCCCACATATCCAGGTGCCAGCAGCTGTGGAGATCAGGGCATCTGGGACAGGCTACTGAACATTCTGAGTATCAAAGGCCAAATACTGCAGTAATCCATATTGTGTGTGTACGTAAATATATTTATCTATATTTCACTAGTGTAGTCCAATCCTGATCATGTGCAGAGGAGGACTAGGATCAGGCTGACTGCGCTATTCATGTTTGCATGGGTGGTGGTGGGGGGCAATATATATCCTTATATGTGTACATATACGTTGTATGCATGTGCAAGCCTATTGGGAGTATATGCTAATCCTCAGCACTGGACCTGTGGATACAGAGACACAGCAGGCTTGCAACTCATTAACTTATGGTATCAGAAGTAAATATTTCTTAAGGCATGGATAACCTCAACCACAGATTTGTACAACTCCTACCTTTTATTGTTCCAGCCTTCAATGAGCTGTGACATGCCTCTTAAGTAATCCATGTCATGCACTGCAATTGGCTGAGAAAGGTTCATTGGCATAGGATGGAAGAGGGCCTGGAGACATGACAACCAATCAATAGCAGGTGCCTTTTCCTAGAAGTAAAACAAAGCTTACATGCTGAGCTGTCAGTCTAAACAGATTGTCAAGAAATAATAGGGAAACTGGGATTGTCTCCTTGATACTGGTAATGGATGATTTCAACAAGTTGAGCTGTTTTTATGGTGTGGGTATTGATTATACTAGAAAAGGAGAATAGACATTTATTTCTTTTATCAGAACATCATGGGGGAGACAGGGAGTGGATTTGGGGACCTGGAAATTCCGACTGCTATCAATAAGAGACAGTAAGTTAATAGGTTATTTAAAATTCAACAGTCTCCAAGGGTAATTTGCAAGAAGGGCATCTAAACAGTGTAGCTCACATCTCTTTTCATCTGGATCTTCAGAATGTGAACATCACATGTAATTGTGTTTCTCAAGTTCTAAGGCACAGATAGATACCTGTAGCTCCTTAATGTTAGTGCGAAAGAACAGCATCCCCCTCTGCTGTCTTTCCTGCAGTGGGGTAACAACACGCTGGAGTTTAGAGATGAAGGACAAGGTAAGGGAAAATGAATGAGGGAAACCATCCTGTGGACCTCCAAGTAGCCCTCCAATTTTTTCCAGGTATGAGAGATAGACACGGAGAACCTGCAATACAGAGCATATGACCAGGGGGAGAAACATGACTGAAAGTTAGTCACCTCATCCATCCATCCATCCATCCATCCATCCATCCATCCATCCATCCATCCATCCATCCATCCATCTTGACCACATAAGATTCACTCTTTCAAAAACAATGTAGCCCTTGTCCTGAAAACTGTCATCTTCACCACAACATCCTCATGTAATTCTTCAAGTGAAATACACTTTGCCAAGTATAGCTCCTTTCTCAGTGAAGAACAGTGAATTCTCAAAAGGTAATGATTTTAATTTGTCCCAGCTAACAATTGCTTTAAACACCAGAATCACTTTAGGGCTGCAGGCTTGTTGTCTCTGGAGTTAGGAGAGCTGTAGTAGACAGTGACACAATAATTCAGTATTTTGGATGGAGAGGAAATGGCAGTCTTGCTTATATTTTAATGAGTTATCACAGGAATACTTGTGATGGCTAAAAGGGTTTATTTTTTGAGAACTCTTCTGAAAGAGTCAGACTGAGAAACTGAAATCAGCTCAGTTTTTATGCAGTTCAGAAAAATTAGATAGTTGTGATGAAATTATCTTTGCTGCAATGTCTCCCATGTTCAAAGACCTTATTTCCCTAGCTTAGGTTAAAACATTTTAAAATTACTACCCTACTACACCAATGTTAATAGATTATAAAGCCTTTATTTTGAACAACAAAAAATTTTTGAAACATTCATTCAAGATAGAGGGAGCCCCAGATTCATATTACCTAGTAAATATAAAATAAAATTCATAAAAATCATAGAAACACAAGATTTGAAAGGACCTACAAGGTCATCTAATCCAACCATCCTCCTATCACCAATACTACCCACTAAGCTACTAAATCACATCTCAATTTTATATCTCAATCATATCTCAAAATTTTAACATTCTCTTTCTACACTAGAAGTTTTAAAAATGGCATCTAAAATTGGTTGCATTATAGAAGCTAGTATTTTACAAAAGCAGACTATTTTATAACAAATTCCATCTGGAGACATTTTTAGAGGCCACCAACCATACCTCATGGAAATAGGTCACTCTGAATCAGGAAGAAATTCAAAGAGATCCCTACACCAAATTACTATTTTTACCTTTCGTCAGTCTCTGATATGTTACCTCAGGATAATTTTTCTCTTTGAATTTACTCTCAGGTGGCATCTCAAACTCAGGATGGTCAATCTGCAAAAAGGAGTAAAGGACAAATATCTGGCTATTTCCAGAAACACTAGAAGTGTTAAGACTATGTTAAATAGGCTTTCTTTGTCTCTGTGTCACAGCATTTGAAATGTTAATAAATTGCCTGAAAGATTCAAAAATGTTTCCTAGGTACTTTTTGTGGATCTATCGCATTCTGCAGCTTATTTACAATCTCATTACAAATCTGTGGTGACTGACATTCAAATATAAACCACATTGTTAAATATTTCTGATGAGATGCAAAATTAATAGTATAATAATGTATTAGATGCTTAACATTTAGAGTGCTTTTGTAGAGTACACTGCTCTACTAGCCACACCTGTGAACGAGTGACACTTCCACAACAAAGCAGAAATTTACACCAATCAACCAGAAGAGGTGAAAGCAAGCAATCTATTCCTCTTCATCTCCTCATTCTCCAGAATTAAGGGGTCTTTTTTGCAATAAAATTATGAAGATTACAGAAAATTTTATGAAAACTTTCTTCAAAGAAGAACTTGAGCAAGCCTGGATCTCATGAACTGTGTTACTGACTCTTTGTTCCTGGCACTTCCTGATAACTCTCTTTCATTAATCCACTCACCTGAATTACATTGGTCTTGGGATCAAAAGGACTAGGTCCCACATGCACTCTGAAAAAGGGAAAGGTGTTGTATCTGCCCATGAGAATCCGAAGAGTTTCATTAAAATCTTTTGCTTTCCCTATGCCTGTGATGTTCCATCCAACAACCTAGAGAAGGGATAGACAGCATGACCACAGGTGAGAAAAACACTTTTTTGATTCTTATTTACAAACATTTTTTTCACTCCTATCAACTCAGTCATTATGACAACAGAGAAACAATAGAGCAAATAGCAACAGGGAAACTCATGTAGGTTTCTACATACCCTGCTTTAAAACTACCTGTCACTTTCACTTAAGGAAAGTAATGAATTTCAAGATGACACTGGAGGGGAAAGAGATAGAAAAAAAAAGAAAGCTGGTTAATATTCAAGGATCACCTCCTCCAAGTTCAAGAATGGTCCACCCCAATGAATAGGAAGTAAGGCAAAAATGCCAGGAGGCCTGAGTGGATTAACAAGGAGCTCCTGGCCAAACTCAATCACAAAAAGGAAGCCTACAAAGAGTGGAAGCAAGACAGGTGTCCTGGGAGGAATACCGAGATGTTCAAATATGCCAGGATGAAGTTAAGAAAGCTAAAGCCCTAATGGAATTGAATTTTGCCAGGTATATTGAAGACAACAAGAAGGGCTTCTGTAAGTGTATCAATGAAAAAACAAAGGCTAGGAAAGATGTGAGTCTGTTGCTAAACAAGATGGGGAACCTGGTTACACAGAAAATTAAGATGGCTGAGATTATGAATGCCGTCTTTGCCAGAGTTTTTACTAGAAAGACTAGAAACACAGGTCACAGAGACAAAGAGGAAAGGCTGCAGTAAGGAAGATGTACCCTTGGTGGAAGACCATGACGTCAGGAAATATTTTGGCAAATTGGATTTACAGAGCCCATGACCATTGATAGGATGCACCCATGCATGTTGTAGGAGCTGGCAGATATTATTGTGAGACCACTCTCAATAATCTGATTGATCATGGAGACTGGGAAAAGTACCTGGAAAGCAAACATCATTCCTGTCTGCAAGAAGGGCACAAAGGAAGACCCAGGGAACTGCAGGTTGGTCAGCCTCACCTCAGTCCCTGGGAAGGTGATGAAATGGCTAAACCTGGAAATCACTTGCAGGCACATGAAGAAGAAGATCATCTGGAGTAGTCAGCATGGCTTCACCAAGGAGAAGTCGTGCTTGATCAACAGGATAAGCTTCTGCAATGAAATGACTGCCCTGGTGGATGGTGGATGAGGGAAGGGTCATTAGGAATTATCTTCCTGCACTTCAACAAGGTTTTTGACACTGTCTCCAAAATAATCCTCATTGACAAGCTGCATGGGCTGTATGGGCAGATGAGTGAAATGGATTGAAAACTGGCTGAACAGCCAGGCCCAGAGCATGGTGATCAGTCTAGTTGGAGGCCACCACCTAGCAGTGTACTCCAGTGGTCCCTTCTGTGTCCAGCCCTGTTCAACATCTTCATTAATGATCTGGATGATGGGTCCAAGTGTGTCCTCAGCAAGTATGCAGATGACATAACACTGGGAGAAGGGGTTGATTCACCAAAGCATCATGCTGCCATCCAAAGAGACCTGGACAGGCTGTTAAAATGGGCTGACAGGAACCTTATAAAGTTCAACAAGGGAAAGTGCAAAGTCCTGCACTTCGGGAGGAACAACTGCAGGCACCAGTACATGCCGGGGGATTCCTTGCTGGAAAGCTGTAGGGGGTTCCGGTGGCCACCAAGTAGAACATGAGCCAGAAATGTGCCCTTACCACAAAGAAGGTTCATGGTATCCTGGGCTGCATTAGGCAAAGTATCACCAGGTTGAGGGAGGTGATCCTTCCCCTGTACTCAGCACTGGTGAGGTCACACCTGAAGTATTGTGTCCAGGTGCTGGGCTAGTGGGCTCGGCAATTCAGGAGAGACATGGAGCTACTGGAGATAGTCCAATCAAGGGCCACAGAAATGGCTAAGGGGCTGGAGCATTTTACATATGAGGAAAGTCTGAGAGAGCTGGGACTGCTTAGCCTGAAGAAATGAAGGCTCGAAGGGAATCTTATCAATCTATATAAATGTCCGAAGATGGAAGGAATATAGTCAGGTTCTTTTCAGTGGTGCCCAGTGACATGGTGAGAGGTAATGAGCACACACTAAAACACGAGATTCTGAACATCTGAAAACATTTTTACTGTGTGGGTGACTGAGCACTGGCACGTGTTACCCAGAGACATTGTGGGGTCTCCCGCCTTGGAGATATTCAAAAGTCATCTGGAGAAGGTCCTAGATGCTGGCTGTAGGTGGCCCTGCTTGAGCAGGAGAGTTGGATCAAATGACCTCCAGAGGTCTCTTCCAACCTCAACCATTCTGTGATTCTGTGACAGCGAAAACAAATGATAATTATCAACAGAACAGGGTACACTGGAAAAATATAATAATAAAATAAATAAAAAGGCAGTGAAGGAGGGAGCGAAAAAGGATATATTTTTCTAAAGTTATCCAGGTGGACAAACAGAGATCAGGAATTTAGGGTCCCTCCTCCCTAACAGGCAGATACTCAGGGGGCCGTGCAGTCACTGTTCCTTCTGCTGAAAGTTTCCACATCAGCCTTGGAGACAGGGCATAACTGCAATCTGCTAACAGGAATTCTCCCTGGCACTGGGAGAAACCTCCCAGAATGGCAATAGAAGCATTTTCCTCTTCAGGCAAGTTTTCCTGAAGCCTGGAGTAGTGGATGGCTGTCAGATCTTAGACAAGCATTTCACCCATTTTGCAAGATGTTTCCTGATCTGTAAGTCAAATTGTATTGAACTGAGCTTCTGAGATTAAGTAATCCCTCTTTGCAGTCTTGGTTGTTGAGCAGTTGTAAAATGTAAGGTCATGAGGGCAGATTTATGTACCTGATGTCAGAAAGCCAAATCTTTAAACAGCATTCAAATTGAGATTTATCTTGTAGAAGTCAGGCTGTGAACCATGAGCTTATTTCAAAACCAGATGCTAGCAAAATTCCACCATGCAGGAACATATGGCCTAAATTTCACTCTTTCCTTTTTTTTTTCTTACAGGAATTGTCCTCTGCATGTAGAAGATGCAGCAGAAACATTCACCTGATTTAGGAGGTTCTTCCATGTTTGATTTCCTTGGGATTCTATCTTTTGTGTATCCATGCAGGAACGATAGAACTGGATTGCTTTCTCTTTAGCTGAGCCTCTTATCTCAAACTGTGGGGCCTCTGAGGAAAAAAAAATAAAATAAAAATGAAAAACTGCAAAGGTGATAAAGTTGATAATAAAGAAAGATGGGCAGTATTAGAGCAGAGGAAGGCTGTAAGAAAATATCACCTTGCACTTTCAGAGCAGTTTAGTAAATATATCTACACTTTGCCAAGTAACCCAAAGCAAGATGTTTTCTAGTGTTTGCTATGACTCTTCCTGAGACCAAATATGTGACTTTCTTTGCATGGAGACTGGAGCACAACAGAAAGGTTGATCATACCTAGGTTTTGGTCCCACATGGAGTCAGGACAAGGTCAGAGTGCACATTCAGACATGCACAGCAAAAAGGGTCTACTTTTACAAGGCAGTAGGAAAATGGTTTAGTTTCCTGAATTTTGAAGTGTGACTTCCATTTCTTACACTTGGCAAGAAGAATCGAAATGTTTGAAATGCAACTATTTTAATATGATCTCTCAAGAATATACCTGCACCTGTAATAACAGAAAATGAAGAGACTGGACTCAGTCCCTGACAGGAATGATTGTGCTCTCAGTTATAAATATTCTCAGCTCTGACTCAGGAAGATGCTGAAAGTAACACAACAACCATCTCTCTCTACCTAAAAGCCTTTTCAGGACAAGCTGATTTTCCTCCAACAATATATCAAAGACGTTTCGTGACTCTTCTGTGGTTCTGCTTGAGTGATTGCTTTCCCAGTTGCTGCAAGCATACTTGTAGAAATCCTCACAGGGGTCTACAGCATCATTCCTAGAATTCAGGAGTCTGGACAACAGTGCAAGCCTCAGCTCAGCATCACATGATCCTGGACAGAAGTAAACAAGAGAGAACTGAGCAGTGGCAGTGAGAACAACTCCACACATGCACAAAAAAAAAAAAAAAAAAAAAAGGAGTTATCTGTGGGACATGCCTTTCTCCTCCCTCCAGATTTATTTTTGGTACAAACTCTTTTGCATACAGACTGTTGAATTCCTTGTAAGTTTTTGCTGAAGATGGAACAATACGTATTCTGTCTTTAACTTTACAGCAAGGCTGCCATTGCACTTTGTAAGGGAGATTCTTTAAATAAAAGACAGGTAGTCAGTCCAGAGGTGGTGCCCTCCATTCTATCTAGGCAGTAACAGGTTGGATTATTCTGCCTTCTCAATGTGCTCTCTCTGAAACAGCACACAGTGATTTGGCCAAATGATAAGAAGCTACTGATGATGTCAACAAATGGAGCAAAGAAAAGACATAGTACAGAGAATTAAGAGATAAGTTTAATACATAGAGGGAGATGTTCAAGCATAGGAAACAAATATTTCTTATAAATGACATTTCTTAAAACAGAACAAAAATTTCCTAGTGTTTCTTGTATTCCTCCTTAGATAAATGGGGATCAACACCCCCCTCCCCACCTCCACCCTCCTTATCTAAGGTGCTGTGAACCCCTGGGTATGTGTTCTCTTTTGGGGTCAGGGTATCTTGTAACAACATCAGATCAGCTCAATTGTTAAATAAGCCATTTGTAAATCAAGATAAGACTTTCCATTCTGTGGTTTCAGCAGTTCTCATGGGAGGAGATATGCAAAGTGAAAATAAGCAATATCTAAGCTAACCAATATCTTTCCTTAGTCTCTATAATGAATGGTTTCCAACGTACAACAGGGGCTGGAACGGGTTTGTGCCTGTTCCTTCTCGTACTGTCACTGGGCACAATTGAAAAGAGGCTGGCTCCATCCTCTTGACACCCTTCCCTCAGATATATATATACATTAACGAGGTCTCCCCTCAATCTTCTCTTTTCCAGGCTAACTTGCCCTCCTACTTTCAGCGTGTACAACAGGTGCTTCAGTCCTCCAATTTTCTTCGTAGCCCTTCTCTGAACTTGCTCCAGTAGTTCTGTGTCCCTATTTTACTGGGGAGCCCAGACTAGACTTATTAAGTCAGGGGTGGAAAAGCAGAGGAGAAGCTACAAATCTCAAATTCTGCATCAGTTTCCTGGAAGTTACTACATAGGGTAGTAACTGGTCATAGAAGCTGGAGGCCAGGACAAGGAGATTCAAGAATCACACAGAATCACAGAATCACAGAATTTCTAGGTTGGAAGAGACCAAACATCTTAACAATATAATGCTGCTGTCCCACAAAGCTGAACCCAGGCTTATTAAATGGCAGGCAGAGGAGGAGGAGTGTGGGGATATATCCCTGCTATGAGAAAAAGAGAAGGCAGAAGAGTGTACCTTTTCACAACTGGTGTCTTCTTATGTTTCTTCAAGATCCTGAAAGTCTGATTCTTAAAAAAATGCTAAGCCTAATAAGCATTGGAGGCAGACAGGAGAGGAAGGGTACTTAAAAATAGATTGTATGAGGAAGCAGGGAAAAGGATATCCCATATTATACCTAGACCACAAGTCATCATGATGTAGGTGATAAGTAATGTAAAACCAAGGAGAGTACTGAGAAGAAGTGCACACAGAAGTAGGCTTTTCCGTTGAAGACATCGTTCCTTCTTTGCACCTGTTCTCAGCTCCTGGTCACAGGTCTGAGGAGAGAAAAATGAGACAAACAGAAAAAAATGAAGAAATATTTGTGTTAAAGTTAGCACTGGTCATATACTCTGTCTTCTCACTTATCTACTGGAAAATCACTCATGGGACTAGTGACAGAATACTAACAGTGGCCCCAGTCATCTAATGAGTTTGTTCCAAGGGGCATTCTCACCTCTTCCATATCCCTTTCTTTTCCAGCAACAGCTGTTCCACAGTGTTATTAAACACACATCTAAACACCAGCTTGCCATGAGGTGGCCTACCCTCCCATAGTTTCTTTTGTTTTATGGAATCATCTTGCATATGCCTCCTGAAAGTAACAAAGCCTTTTTAAGCCCTTAAAGCTAAAAACAGGATGGCTAGGTGTGGTGGTTTAACCCAGCTGGGCAGCCGAACTCCATCCCAACCTCTCTCTCACTCCCCCTCTTCAAAAGGGAAGGGGGAGAAAATATGATGAAAAGGGCTCAAGGCTTGAGATGAGGACAGGGAGGTCGCTCAACAATTGTCATCACAGGCAAAACAAACTCAGCATAGAGAGATTAATGCATGTATAATGTATTGCCTGTTACTAACAGACTAGAACAGTGAGAAACTAAAAGCAAGCTGATAACACCTTCCCCCCATCCACCCTCTTCTACGTCCTCCCCCCAAACGGTGCAGGGGAAGGCATAATGGGGGCTGCAGTCAGTCCATAATGCTTTGTCCCTGCTGCTCCTTCATGCTCAATCTCTGCCCCTGCTCCAGCATGGAGTCCCTCCCACGGGATGCAGTCCTTCCTGAACTGATCTTGCATGGGCTTCCTACAAGCAGCAGCTCTTCAAGAACTGCTCCAATATGGGTCTGTACCATGGGGTCCATCCTTCAGGAGCAAACTGCTCCAACATGGGTCCCCCACAGTCAGCAGCTCCTGCCAGACCATCTGCTCATGTGTGGGCTCCTCTCAATGGGCTGCAGCTCGGGCTCAGACTCTGCTCTGGCAGGGGTTCTCCTTAGGCTCTCCTTCACGTCAAATCCATGTGCTCCACCATGTGCTCCTCCACAGGCTGCAGCATGGAGATCTGCTCAGTTGCACTACACCATGGGCTGCATGGGAACATCCTGCTCTATCATGATCTTCTCCACAGGCCACAGGGAACTATTGCTCTGGTGCCTGGAACATCTGCTCTCCCTCCTTCTTCACTGACCTTGATGTCTATAGGGCTATTTCTCTCTCCTTGCTCTCCCAGCTGCTGTTGTGTAGTGGGTTTTTCACTTTCTTAAAACTGCTCTCACAGAGGTGCAAATACAATTGTTTATTAGCTTGGTTCTGGCCAGTGGTGGGTCCCTTTTGGAGCTGGCTAAAACTGACCCTTCTCTAAATGGGGCAACTTCTGGACTCTTCTCACAGAGGCCACCTCTGCAGCCTCCCTGCTACCAAAACCTGGCCACATAAACCCAGTACACTAGGACTAGTGGTTCTTTAATGTTTGTCTACTTGAGCACTAATTTCAACATGAGCACTAATCTCTTCTCAAGAAAGAGCATCTGAACCCTAAGCCCTGTAGTCAAGTTCAAATGAGAGAGATTTGTCCCATTCTAAAAAGTGCAGTATGATGTAAGTCACAGGGAGTATCTTTTTTACAGACTTTACATTGCTCTTATATTCGGTTGTATTTGCAATTTAGTCAGTGGAAAAGGTTAGCCATGTTATGAATACTGCTTCTATTTCAAACATGTCTTAAGATAAACTGAAGCATTCTCCAAAGATACCAGTCTTTTTCTCCATTGACTGCAAAGGAAGCAACATGACTATGTCATTTTACACTTCTAAATTCCACCTGGGTAAAGTTACACAAAGTTACCTTTGCTGTGTGTGTTCAATGCTTTTATGTATTTTGGTGTGCATGAACGTGGACAAGAACAGTAGGTTACAGCATACCACAAGGGAACAGACATGGGAATGTATGTTGGTAGTCTAATAAAAGGAAAAGAACTG